TTGAAGATAGCCCAATCTGGAAAACTCAAGAGCTGACAAAATTGTGAATTCTCTCTCTCTCTCGCTCGTTGCCATTTCCATGGAGATATCTCTTCTCCGATCAACGACGCAGTTGCTTGTACCGTCGTTTTCGAAGCCGAATCGTCGATTCCATGCCTATAAGCCTCTTAAACTCCGTTGTTCGGTAGCCGGTGGACCCACCGTCGGATCTTCAAAAATCGAAGGCGGAGGAACCACCGTAACGGCGGATTGTGTGATTGTAGGCGGAGGTATTAGTGGCCTCTGCATTGCTCAGGCGCTCGTTACGAAGCACCCTGATGCTGCACCGAATTTGATTGTAACCGAGGCTAAGGATCGTGTTGGAGGTAACATTATCACTCGAGAAGAGAATGGTTTTCTCTGGGAAGAAGGTCCCAATAGCTTTCAACCTTCTGATCCAATGCTCACTATGGTGGTAAGTTCTTAATCCACTAAAGAACCCAAAATTGAGTTTGCTAGGAACAATGGTATTAGAAATCCTAACATTGGTAGTGATAAATGTTTATTGATTTGTGAATTTTATAGCCTTCTCTGTTTATGGTTAGTTCAGGTAGATAGTGGTTTGAAGGATGATTTGGTGTTGGGAGATCCTAATGCGCCAAGGTTTGTCTTGTGGAATGGGAAATTGAGGCCGGTTCCGTCGAAGCTAACGGACTTACCGTTCTTTGATTTGATGAGTATTGGTGGGAAGATCAGGGCTGGGTTTGGTGCTCTTGGCATTCGACCATCACCTCCAGTTTGTATTCTGATCACAAGTAGTTATAAAATTTCTTGTAAAGTTAGGTTTATGTTTGGTAGAAGTTGCTCATGTTCTAAGAGTTTCACAAAGGTGACAGGGTCGTGAAGAATCTGTGGAGGAGTTTGTACGGCGTAACCTCGGTGATGAGGTTTTTGAGCGCCTTATTGAACCATTTTGTTCAGGTAGAGTGACAAATAAAAGTTCAAATAAACCATTTATTAGATGATCAATGTGTCTGATTTAGCAGTGTTCTTTCCCTTGTCATATTATTGGAGGAATGAATGAATATCTAACCTCACCACTTCGACCAATCTTGTTTATGGTGGAAAACCAAGATTTGCTCTGTTCTTCTAGTGCACCCCTGAGGCTTTAAATTCATTATTTCAGGTGTTTATGCGGGTGATCCATCAAAGCTGAGTATGAAAGCAGCTTTTGGGAAGGTTTGGAAACTAGAGCAAAATGGTGGAAGCATCATAGGTGGTACTTTTAAGGCAATTCAGGAGAGGAAAAAAGCTCCGAAGGCAGAACGAGACCCGTGAGTGACATAACCTTTTCAATTGCTTGGGATCTTTTGTCTCTTGATATATATATATATCTGTAAAACAACTCAACTTGACATTGTAGGCGCCTGCCAAAACCAAAGGGCCAAACAGTTGGTTCCTTCAGGAAGGGACTTAGAATGTTGCCAGAAGCAATATCTGCAAGGTATATGCTACTTGTGTCTCTCTCTCTATTGGAAGCGAAAAAGGCAACAACTTTCAAGTGTTTTCTGAAATCTTTTTCTATTTGACAGGTTGGGTAGCAAAGTTAAGCTGTCTTGGAAGCTCTCAGGTATTACTAAGCTGGACAGCGGAGGATACAACTTAACCTATGAGACTCCGGATGGTGTTGTTTCTGTGCAAAGCAAAAGTGTTGTAATGACTGTGCCATCTCATGTTGCAAGCAGTCTCTTACGCCCCCTTTCTGTAAGTTTCTCGTTTCCTGAACTAGAAATTTTCTCATAGCGTAGATTCGAATAGAGAAGGTGTTGCAACTATTGTATTTTTTTCTTTCTTTCAGGAATCTGCAGCAAATGCGCTCTCGAAACTTTACTATCCACCAGTTGCAGCAGTATCTGTCTCGTACCCAAAAGAATCAATCCGAACAGAGTGTTTGATAGATGGTGAACTAAAGGGTTTTGGGCAACTGCATCCACGCACGCAAGGAGTAGAAACTCTTGGTATATATCTTGTAGATTTAATTTTATGCTATGTCAAAATGTTCAAATAAGCTTCATGTTGTTGTTTGGATTTTCTTCAGGAACTATATACAGCTCGTCGCTCTTTCCAAATCGAGCACCGCCCGGAAGAGTTTTGCTGTTAAACTACATTGGTGGCGCTACTAACACGGGGATTCTATCCAAGGTAAAAAAGAACAAACACTTGTAACACATTTGTATTCGAGCAAGAAAACCTAAGAACCAATCTTTTCCTTTTTCTCTCTTGGGTTTTGATTCCACAGTCCGAAGGTGAGTTAGTGGAAGCGGTTGATCGCGATTTGAGGAAAATGCTGATAAAGCCGAATTCGACTGACCCTCTTAAACTTGGAGTGAGAGTATGGCCTCAAGCCATTCCTCAGTTCCTAGTTGGTCACTTTGATCTCCTTGACACAGCTAAATCATCATTAACATCTTCGGGCTACGAAGGGTTATTTTTGGGAGGGAATTACGTCGCTGGTGTAGCCTTAGGCCGTTGTGTAGAAGGCGCATATGAAACCTCGACCGAGGTCAACAACTTCATGTCAAAGTACGCTTACAAGTAATGTAAAACATTAAAATCTCTTAGCTGAGAATTTTATTTGATGAGTGAAACTTCAATTTGATTGATACATAGATTTGAGTTCTAGGAGAATGGTCTTTGGTTCTCGCAGTCTAAATGAGGTCCTGTAGTAACATTAAACAATTGAGCATATCTTTGGAAATACCCGACCCGATCACTGACCCGTCCATCTCCTGGAATCCCACACTCTAAACCGCCGTTTATGATGTTGGTGGTTAAACCGAAACCGACGGTTCGGTTTGCTGCTAAATCTGCTCTCGTCGGTCTGTACCGGTTGATCATGACATCATGGCAAGACGGTTTAGGAGTTTGTTCGGTCATCCAAAACCAAAGAGCTGTCTTGAAAGCTAAAACAGAGTTGTTGGCAACAATTTCCGGGTTCCTTAGACCGTCGAATCCAAGTGCCCGACCCGCCTGCCCGTAATTGTAATTCCTATTAATCCAAGAAAACAGAACAAAATTAACCGAAAGCTAAGACTAATATATAGAAAAATATTTTTTTAATAAATTATTAAAATTTGAATTGGTAACTTGCAATATGATGGAACTCTAAGCTGTTTTTTATTTATTTACATGTAAGATTAAATAATAAATGTAATGTGAATTTTGTGATTTTTTTATTCTTAAAAAATTGCTTATACTTTTTTGTCATATCATTTTGGAAATTTTGTGTCTTTCAGTTCTAACTTATGGAACGCTCTTTTTTTAAACAAAATAATTTAAAATAAAATTCGGATAGGTATATATATGGGTTTGTGGAATCATTTCATTATTTCATAGGTTACCTAAAAATTATTTCAAAAAATCACATCATTCGTAAAAATTCGTTCATTATGCGGTGAACAATCACATTGAAATGATATAGTTATTCTATTCGACAAAATAAATGTATATATAAATGATTATTGGTTAGTAATTAATATTATAGACGTACCAAGAAAGTTGGATGGGACCTCTTCCTTTGTAAGACTTGCCAGGGAAACAAGGCCACTCCGTATTAGAAGCATCACAATAATTACTTTGTGGACTCACTTCCTCTTTAAAACAAAGTCCCCATGCGTACGGTCCGTCCGGTGCCGTGGCCCAACCACCTGTCGTCTCGTGTGATATCTGAGCCAAAAAGGCAGCCACTTCGCGTCGCCTTGTCCTAACGTCACCTACCCTCCCGAACCTCGGGAACCACCTTGTCGCTTCCACGAATGCTTCGTATGGATAGAAACCTTTTGCAGGGCATGCGTTGTTATCCTTGTGGATGAAGATTGAGTCGTAGAGAGATCTCGAGACTAGGCTCGTGATCCGCGCGGGTTTATTGTAATGTTTTCGAGCTTCGGTTTCATGGAGAGATGATGAGATTGAGAAGATGAAGAGGAAGAGACATAGCAATAGAGAAATTTGTATCTCCATCTTATT